TTAGACAGAAGTAGCTGAAGCATCATGCTGGGAAAGCATCTATCATGCAATGAGAGGAAGACTTTTAAGGAGATGGAACAAAGTAGTCACTATTACACTGAGTGTGAGTGTTAACAGAGATCAGGAGGATGATGTAACATAAGTCTCTGAATCACAGCGAACTGGACAGCATCTAACAACAATATGGTATTGTTCACAGCCTTGAATACCCTACAACGTCATCTGCATACATGTTGCTCATGCTGTGTTTGCTGTTGTGCTCGCTGTTGTAACTGAGCCAAACACAACTCACAGTAACCCTCTCTATGAATAACAGACCGGAACCCTACCCTACTCTGATGAGCCATATCTCTGATGTGCGTGAGCCCACTGAGAATCCCCATGTTAGTCCATCTTCTTGAGGGTCTCTCTTTAACAACACAAATCATTGAGAACTTCAATCGCCATGTATGATGACGTTGTCTATGGGTCCACAGAGGATTTTTGTTATCTTGATGTAGAGATGTAATTCATATTGAAGGTTACAATCATTGTCCTCTAGAGCAAGCATTTCAGATCCTCTTCACTTTCAGCAAGCAAAGTTGTGTCATTTCCATAACATAGGTGGTGAGTGAGTCATCCTGATGCCACACTCTTCTTCATAAAATCCAGCTTCACAAATTACTTGCTCAGCATACAAACTGACAAGGTATGGAGAAAGGATACAGCTAATCTGCATATATGAGGCTGAAATAAATCACAACAGACTTGATAACTGGTTTGGTTCTTCTTTGGTGATCCTGTAAGAGTTGCTATTAATCTTATATAAATTTCTGCTCTTACAATCTCGATGTGTGAAAGATGTAATTTCCCCCCTTTATGTCTGCACTGCCTCATCACACAAGAATCTTACTGTTGTTGCTAGATGTCACTGAGCACTCACAGTAACCTATGAGCATCAAGGATTCATAGCAGCTCACAGAACGACCAATCTGAACCTTACCCTGTCCTGTTCCATCCTCATGATCTGATAAGCTCTAGCCCACTTTGACAGCCACCTCAGTTCACCTTGTTATAGGTCGTCTTCTCCTTCTCTGACTCTCAACCTTTCCCACCTGAAGTTGTCAGCAGTTTCATTTAACCTGGATCCATAACCAACACCCATGGTGTCGGCAGTCAAGAAATTAAAGGCATGCTGGATTGTGAAAATCTGCTGTAAAGGATTTCTCCAAAGTGCTAAAGAACAAGGATCTCATTTTAAAGGGTAAAGTGCACCTGGTCTAAACCATGCTATTTTTAACTGCTTCATCTACACCTGAAAGTCAGAAAATAAATAAGGAAGACCCAAGAAGTCTCTTATACAGTAGTATTACATAATAAACAACTCATTGTATTTTTAGAGGCAGTAATCTTATGGGGAGGAGAATGCCCATCTTTCTCCGCAGAGCAGTTGGTGTATTCTAACTACATACTGTTGTGTTAGTGGCACAATTCTTTACCACTAAGACACCAGAGCTCCCTATAGGATAAATCATTTCAACCACTGTCCGTATCACTGGTTTTTCAGAGGCAGACAGAACAACTGGCTTTAGAGTGACAATGTAAACAACTAAGTCTGTAGCTCTGATTGTTTTCCCTGAAAGAATCATAAGAGCCTCTGCAGAACATCATTCCTCTGCTCACCTGAGCCCGGAGCGGAGTCCATCCTGCCCTTGATAAGCACTCTCTTCTTTGTAACTCACTGCTGTCAAGCTGATTCTGACTCATAGCAATCTCTATCAGCTTTCTAAGGACCTAAACCTTAAGTGAGGAAAATGTCCATCCTTCTCCTCCAGAGTCACTGATGGACTTGGGCCACTGCAGACCCAATATTTCGGTCAGCAAAGAACCAGATAAAGCCTATGCCAGTGGCATTGTTTGACGAGTCTGGCATTTGGGTTTGGTCGTTCTTGGCTTTTCCCTTTTCCTAAATATGTAATGGATCTTATCTTTAAATTAAAAAAATTAACCCTTCTGAATATTTTTGGACAACCTATTAAGAATTTTTATTATTTTCACTGGACAGTAATAGTAAAGTATGAACTTAGGACAAACACCAGAGTCTTTCCTAAAGCCTTCTTTAATACACAAAGACTTTTATTAAATTCAGGAAATCAATGACTGTAACTAAGGCTCATTTAATATGGTGAGCACAAAAAGTACTTAAAAGGTGCTCTGATTTCATCACTTCCTCCTTCCCTCAAGAATTGTAATGTGCTATCAAGTCAAATACAACTCACAGCAACTCTCAAAGTAACAGATCTGAACCCTGTGCTATCCAGTGCCATCCTCATCACCTCCAACACACTTGAGACCATTGCTGCAGTCACTGTAACAATCCACTTGTGGGTTTTTCTTTCCTTCACTGACCCTCCACCTTTCCAAACAGCAGGTCCTTTCCAAGGAGCAGCCCCTCCTAATAACATGTCCAAAGTATTTGAGATGAAGCTTCACCATTCTTGCCTCTAAGGAGCATTCTGACTGTACTTTCTCCAAGACATATTCGTCTGTTCTTTTGGCAGTCCTTGGAATATTCACTACTCTTCTCCAATACCACAACTCAAAGGTATGGATTCATCCTTATTCATTGTCCAGCTCTCAAATGCAAAGTGTCTGCTGAAGACACGATGGCTTGAATAGGTACACTTTAGTGTTTAAAGTGACATCATTATTCATCAGGATTTTAGAAAGGAACCTGATAGCCAGCTTTCCCAATACTGTATGTCTCCTGATCTGGTACGAAGGGTGCTGATTGTGGTACCAAGTAAGATGAAATAGCTGACAATTTCAACACTGATAAGTCCATCAGTATACCACAACTCCCTGGGCCTGTCTATTGTTTAGCTAGAAGTTGAGTTCTAGGAGTGATTTTTAGTTCCAGGACAGGAGAGAGAAGGTTTAAGGATCTCAGAGAGTGGTGGACCCATCTAAATATCAGAAAGCCTGTTTTGCGGTTGTTTGTTTGTTTTCTGGTGGTTTTTTTTTATTTTATTTTTATTGTATTATTTTTTACATGTACCGTCAAATCAGATCTGACTGGTACAGGAGGAGATTGCCCCCTCCTTCTCCAGCAGAGCATCTGGTGGATTTGAACCGCATACCTCTGGGATTGCAGTGCAGCATCTTGCCACTAGGCCACCAAAGCTCCCTGCGGTTGTTTTTTAATTATGAGTTTTGTTCCACATTTTTCTCCCACTCTGACAGGGGCCTTCTACTATGAATCCTTTCAGAATCGTCAAGTTATTAACTAGGCACCATCTAGTTCTTCTGGTCTCAGAGTTATGGGTACTAAAATTCACATGGTCCCATTATTAGTTTTTTTAATTAATATTCTTTGATATACTTTTTTGTATGCTGAATAAAATTCAGGTATTTCACTGAAGGAATATTTTACTGAAACCGCAATCTGATGAGCTGACACAGTGATTGCAGCAATGGGCTTGAGTGTGTCGGAGATCGTGAGGACGGCACAGGATAGGACAAGGTTCAGGTCTGTTGTAGGGTCACTGTGAGTTGTACTGGACTTGACGGCCACTAACAACAACAATTTCAAAGTTTTCAGACTAGTTTTCTTGATACAAAGGAAGTGATTTGGCGGAACACCTATCCCCAAAGCTTTAAGAAAATAAATTTAAGACAGGCAAATGTATGGAGTTCAATATTTTTATCATTTATGTGCCCTGAAAGTATTCATATATTCAGCAGAATCAACTCTGTCCTGCCAAAGATTAAACTATATGACACTGTCATGAAAATGAATGCTGTGTGAAATAATGAGCATAAATGGTTTGTGACCAACCAAGTAACTTGGAGAATCGGCACTGAGATCAAGTCTCCTGAACTAATCTTGAAAGAAACATTTTAACCACGTTTTACATTCAGATGGGGTGTTTAGTGACTCATTACTGCAGAAGACCATAGCTAGTTATTCTCAATTTTATAAGTACGTAAAAGCTGCTATTGTATGATCTCTTATATGAAATACCTACAAAAGGCAATGTTACAGGGAGCTCTGGTTGCAAAAAGATGCACTGCCATTCCAAAGGTGCACAGTTCAAATCCAGCAGATGCTCCGCAGGAGAAGGAGGGGCAATCTCCTCCTGTACCAGTCGGATATGACTAGATGGTACACAACAAGAACAAAGGAGGGGAAGGCAATCCTACAGAAATCAAAGTTTATGAATCGTTATCTGGAACAAGAGAGAAGGGGAAAAGTTACTGCTTAGGAGGTCCTGAGGGTCCATTAGTGGTGATGGAAAAACTCAGAAATGGACGATGGTAATGGTAAGATGACCATAAATTATGTCACTGAAGTGTACAGAGGAAAATGGCTTACATATAAAAAAATGTTAAAACCACAATAAAAAAAAAGTGATATAACAAAACAAAAAATTCGTTCCATTTTCCTGGCTCGTCCCCAGTGTAAAGTTTAAGAATTTTCAGGTTCTATTATCTGCAGGAGTTAACAGACATTTTCATATGTATTCAACCACAGGGATTCTCACGTTCTAACCATGACATCATTGCTGTGTCAGCTTTGGAAACTGCTGACACAGGCTACTGAATTGTGAGAAATCGTTTTTGTTTATACAGGCAATATGATGTCATTGTCTGGGCAACAAAAGCAGAACAACAATTTTAAATAAAGCTAGTTAACAAACATTTGAGTGAGCACTTCATATTTAAATATAAACAGAAGTAGACAGAAAGATTTCAAGTCAACAAGATCCCTTCAGGTAGGGCAAAATGAAAGCATGAAGATTAACCAGTTACTCAAGAACTTGTTTCAACTTTTAAATATAAAAAGCTGGCTTTAAAAATCTATTATTTCAGTGCTAAACTTCTCCACTAAGACACAGATCATAAGACACAGTTTTATGCTTGCGTCTAACCAGGAGCTGGGGAAAAGAGAAAAATCTGGAAAAACCAAGAGCAGCAAGCTGAAATACTGAGATCTTCACTTTAAATGCAGAAATTCTTACCTCCCACTGTAGGTGAGGTGGAATATTTCGTATCTGAAGCTTCCGAATCCTGCAGAAGAATCAAAAATGTTTAATCTTTAATTGGTGGTCTAAAGCAAAACACATTAATACTCATTATGTAAGTTTAGAAACTATTTTATAGATAACATTTTATTAAATACAAACATACATACATCTATTGGGGGGGGTGAGAGAGAGAGAGAGCGCGTGTGCACGAGCGAGCGAGTGTGCGCAAATGAGCTCAAGAAGGAAAAAACCAAAGGCATGCATTTGGTGACAGGCTGCTCTGGTGGCCTAGTGGTAAGAAGCTGTGCTGCAATCCACAAGGTATGCAGTTCGAATCCACCAGCTGCTCCATGGGAGAAAGATGAGCAATTTCCTCCCATGTGATTAACTGCCTTGGAAAACCTACTGGAAGGTCACTTATGGGTCAGTTCCAACTCAATGGCCCACAACAATTACAGTAAGACACATTTCTTGTTGGCATCTAGAATAAAATCAGCAAGTTGTGCCACTTATCAAAAGCCTTCCTGTCTCTGGTACAAATCTTCTAATAGTTCCTTGGGAGAAAGATGGGCAGTATCCCCCCAACAGATTTACAGCCTTGGAAACTTGCTGGAGGGCCATTATGAGTCCAAGCTGACTGGATGGTACTTGAGCTTGGAAATTTTTTTCTGCTGTTGATCTCAAAAGAGGAAAGCAAATACTACAAATACTGCCTATCTCATACATATTACTTTCATGAGAGAGTGAAAACTAACACATACAGTGGGGATCAAAAACAATAACCAAGGAGATGGTGCAGAAAATTTTCCATTTTATTTTGTTTTTGGAAGGGGGAATCAAATACCACTCAGTCTCAGAATATACATTATGAAATGCTAAAAAGGAGATTTAATTAAAAATAACTCATGGCAGGGGAGGTGGGGGGGGGTCACAAGAAAATAAGTTATATTCTAATAGCTGTTAAAGCCAGGAGCAGCTATCTTTCTGCTTTTCTGACAGTTTGATATTTTCTATGAAAGGTTTGGGAAAAATTTTTTTACTAGATTGCAAAATTTCTATATATTGTTTCAGTGAGCAAAAAAGTTGTTCATATTGTGTAAACATTACCTTGGGCCAAAAAGGAGAGAATAATAATTTGCTGCACATATGAAAGCAGTGATCTGTTTTAATCAAGCATCTGATACAGAAAGAATTAACAGTGCAGTGGAAAACTATGTATTTATTCTGGTTAGCCTCATTTTTTCCTTGTGTATGTAATACTGGAACATTTTCCCCAAAGCACATACATGCACAGAGTTCAGGTAATTAGCAGTGATTGCTCACATTACAAAAACAAACACCCTCTTCACAGAAAAAGTCCCAAGAAACTTTTTAACTAGGATGCTATCTTTTCTGTAGTCAAAGTGATCCACTAGTAATGTTTTCCCAAGGACTTTGCACACCCTCTGCAAAACATACACCTAGCACCCACTTTCTTATTAAGATTTCTCCAGACTATTTCCCTTAAATGGTTGTCCAGTTCCCGGATTCTCTCACCCTGAAACTATCAGTCAACAGCTATAAAAGAAACAGCTTTTTTTGTTTCAGTACCACCATAACCCCTGCTTCTAAGAGTAATAGAAAAAATTTTGCTATCAAATTCCACTCAATGTTTATGTCCAATGGTCTAATAAACCTTTTTATTATTTGTTCATATCAACGTCCTTACTAAGATGTGTAAGTATATCAATTTGATGTGTCCTTTAAACAAATTTAATGTAGGAGTCTCCCCTTACTCTTCTTTTGGTACCACTTACTTGAGCAGCAGGTGAGAAATGCTCTACAATTACTCATTTTATATTTTACCATTATTTTAGTACTTGTTTACTATGTTGAATTTGATCTGATAATATATGACATTTTATATTCTATGTTCTTTATGGTGTGTATGTGTGTGTGTATATATGTATATATGTATATATATATATATACACACACACTATGTTGAATTAGATCTGATATATTCTTTGTTCTAGATGCTATATATACTATGTTGAATTTGATCTGATTATATGTAACATTTTTCTATTCTAAAGCACATAATATCTGTAAACCTCCACACCAAGAAAGGGGCTTGCTGCTATCAACTTACAGTGGCCCCAAGAAGAAAGAGATCAGATTGTTGTCATCCACAAGTTTTCCACTGGCTAATTTTTAAAAATAAGTCACCAGACCTTTCTTTCTACTGTCTCAGTCTAGAAGTTCTACTGAAATCTGTTCAAGACTAGAAGTGGCCTCAAGGTCTCCCCTGATTCAAATCAAAGAAGAATCCAAATAAGATCCATACATTGCATCTGATTGATTATGACTTTCATAGTCTGTACTTTTTTTCCTTTTTCCCCCTTATACTTTATTTGAAACACTCCTGTCATTTGTCCTGTAGTTTTTCAGTGACAACAGTTTGCTGACTGCACTTCCACAGTGGTTTTATAGGCTAGATTCCTCTGTTTCCTATGAACTGGTAGTTAGATCCAAAGACCTAACTGGCTTTATATTTCACAGTGGGTGTTTTACGGTTCTATGAGAAAGAACATGACATGATCTCCGGCTGTCTTTGAAATGCTGGCCACTGCACACCCATATTTACTGCTGCATTATTCATTCACAATAGCAAAGAGATAGAAGCCACTCACGTGCCCATCAGCAAATAAATGGAGACAAAAATTAGGGTACAGTCACACAGAAGAATTCACTGAAAAATGAGGGACTCATAGTACACAAAACATGTGTGACCCTGCTGAGTGAAATATCTCAGTCACAAATGGACATATACTTACAACACCACTGTTTTAAAACAGGACTGACATGAGGGTGGGAGGAGACTAAGAAAAAAGGGGATAAATAATGAGAATACTGCATTGGCATAGATAACCAGTTCCTAGCCCTGTAGTATCTCAAGGTGGAAAGCAGGGATTTTCTCATTCTATCATTTATTCTGTGTCTTTAAACTGGAACCCTGTATAAAATAACAGCTTTCCCTTACCAAATATGAGTCTCCTGAGATACAGTAAGTACAGTAAAGGCAAGATGAATGTTTGATTCTTTTCCTTTTTGTAGCACTTTGTACTGAGCACCATATCACATCCCTTCATCTCACTTTTGATTTCTTCCATGGCTGTAGTGAACAGTTCCATGAACACAGACATTGTCCTTTCTCTCTTCATCCAAAGCATGTGGTCTACACTATGCTTCCTTGTCTCAGAAAACTCTGAGACAAAGCCCCAAAAGCATACAGAAGCAATGGAGAGATTAAACACCAAGGGCAATCTCTAATTTACAGAGAAAATCGCTAGATAAATCCTCTCACCTCCACACTTCAGACGGACCTTCACATTTCTTATGTAACTTCAATAACACATCCTTAAAAAGAAAAATAACACAACCTTCATTGGTGTTTTTCTAATTCCTAATCCCACTCTCTCAAATTCTTATTCTTGCTCAACTCCAAAATAATCAAGCTTCATGTACAAAACTTAAGTCTCATCCACTGCTATGAGTTCCAAGTTTTCAGATTAAGTTTATACGCTGAAATCCAAAGATAGGCAGGTTTGATTTTAACAGTTTTATTAAGAATTTATTTCAAGATACTTTCTATGTATCAATTATTGGAACCGGAACCCTGCTGCCTTGTTGTCAGAAGTCATACACAGAACCCCATGCGGTCACTAGAGCATGTTCATTGTCATCAGAGTGGTCATTACTACTAGCTCAGAGTTAGAATATACACATTTTGAAAAAGAAAATCATGAATTTATACTCATTTTAAATTCAAATGTTAGATGCCTAGTTTTTTGTTAAAGCCTTATCTGCATCTTTTCTTCGACTGAAAAATCTGATTACTAAATACACCCCGCAACAATAGCAAAGTTCAAGAGAGCAGCAAACAACACTGGCAATGTTGTGGAGAGACTGGAACTCTTATTCACTGCTGGTGGGAGTATAAAATAGTACAGCCACAATTGAAGACAGTATGATGCTTTCTCAAAAAGATGGAAACAGAAGTACCATGGACCCAGCAGTTCCGCTACTGGAAATATATCCGAAAGAAACCAGAGCCATAACTCAAACAGATGTACATACAATATGTTTACTGTTGTTATACACAATAGCAAAGAGATGGAAGAAACACAAGTGCCCATCAACAAACATATGGATGGAAAGCTATGGTGCATTCACACAATGGAATATTATGCAGCACTGGAAAACAATGAACTCAAAACATTATACAACATAAGGAAGCCTGGAAGACATTATGCTGAGTGTAATATCTTAGTCAAAAAAGGGCAACTACTCCATACCACTGTAATATAAAATATAACAGATATGGGGGAGGGGGAGAATGAGAAAGAGTAGATCGATAATGAATACTTCATTAGATCAGATTAGGCGAAGAACTGTCTGAAAGGAATACATGATTAGGCATTATATATATGACAACAATCTGGAACAAGAAGTACACTGAAGGGCAGGCTGGGAAGAAAAGGTACAACAATGACTAAAAACAAAAAGGAAAAAAGAACTAACGAAAATATAAAGTGTTTTTACATCTACAATCTCATTTGATTCATGGGAAACCGAGGTTTCCCAAATCTACCTTTGTGCATTCTGTCTCTGGAATCATAACTCGTAACACTACACTTCATAATTACACTGCCTTATAATCCAACATGTCAAAAACCCTATACATTTTAAAAAGCACAGGTTGTGTATTAAAGTCCAAAAGTAAAGAGAGAAACTAAACCTAAGCAAAATTGTCATTTTAACCCATATAATTATACACATCAAAAACTACTTTCTGGCAGGTTTTATATTAATAAGTAATATATATGGTGGCCTAATGGCAAGAAGCTGCACTGCAATCCCACAGGCACATAGTTCGAGGCCACCAGCTGCTCCATGGGAGAAAGATGGGCAATTTCCTCCTGCAATTAACTGCCTCTGAAAACCCACCAGCGCTATGGGTCAGTTCTGACTCTCAATACACAACAACAACATTGCTATATA